AAACAATTTAAACAATTCTGACGGCCTGAGTTATGTACAAAACAAAAAAAACAAAAAAACAAATATGATAGACAGCAACTAAGGACAACCACTGAATTACAGGCTCCTGACTTTGGATAGGCATATACTGAATATGGCGGGGTTTAACTAGTTTGTTGGCGCCAACCCTCCCCTAACCTGGGACAGTGGTGTAACATCACAAGCATAACAACTATGCAAAACAATGAAAAAAAACAAATTTGAGAATCGGCAAAATACGACAACCACTAAATTACAGGCTCCTAACTTGGGACAGGCGTACATAGAATGTGGCAGGGTTAAATTTGTTTGGACGCGCAGACCAACCCTCCCCTAACCTGAGACAGTGATGTATAACTGAACATCATAAGAACAAACTATAAAAACAGTTGAAATGGGCTTGATTATGCAAAAGTATCTTGGCTTTGGTTAAAATCCTGTAATTTTCGATTTTAAACCAATAAAATTGGAAATGGAAATGCGGAATGTGTCAAAAAGACAACAACTCGACCAAAGAGCAGAAAACAGCCGAAGGTCACCAATGGGTCTTTCACACAGCGAGAAAATCCCGCACTTGGTGGCGTGCTTCAGCTGGCCCGTAAACAAAAATATATACTAGTTCAGTGATAATGGACGCCATACTAAACTCCAAAACATATAAATGAAATAAATTAAAAATCATACAAGACTTACAAAAGCCAGAGGCGACTTGGGACAGGCGCTAAAACGCGGCTTGGTTAAACATGTTTTGTGAGATCTCAACCCTCCCCCTATATCTCTAGCCAATGTAGAAAAAAAACATACACCAATACTCACAGTAAAACTCGGTTTAAAAGAAGTCCGAGTCCGATGTCAGAATATGTAACAAAAGAAACTAAGCAAAATGACAATGACACAAAAATTAACAAAGGACTACTAGCAGTAACTAACATGCCAGCTCCAGACTTCAATTAAACTGATTGAAAGATTATGTCTTCATCATATGAAAATCAAGCACAATCCCTCCCGTTAGTGGGTCTCATTGGGGTCTAAGCGTGACGCGGGATTGCAGATTTTTTGTAAGCATGACACGTGAAAGTCAATTGTGCCGTGAAAACGGGAAATGAAGTCTAGCGGGACACGGGAATTTACAAAAAAAATGAGAATTGCTTACGTACATAGTGTAAGCGGGATACGGGAATCTGACAAAAAAGTAAGCGGAATCCGGGATCAGAACCTCCCAATGAGACCCCCCGTTAGGGGTTTAGTATCATACCATCATAAAATATATGAGAAGAACATAACCCGTATATGCAAATATACAAATCTTATCTATCAATATTGCTAACATGTTAAACTACCGAAGCTGACATGATTAAAACTGACATGCGATCGTTGGAAAAGGGTGGTGTAATGTTTATTGGTCGTTATAGTAACATACAAGAAAAATCTGGTTGTATCTATATATGTTTCACGCAGAAGGAAGCGTTGTGTCAATTTAGACGTTTGGCGGGAAAGTCAGTGGTTGGGTCAAAGGGTATGGGGGTGTTTGAGAGGGATTCTTGTGTTCGGTATCGGGAACATTTAGAGAACACCCCTAATCAGTAAATAGTGTATTCGCCCTGGAGTATATAAGGGGGTGAGGAATACAATTCGGTTTCTGTCGATATTCTTATTAAGAAGACCAGTGTACAAGAGTAAGCACGTTACATAGCTGTAAGTGATATAGTCGAGGACAAGTTGTACTGGGGACAACTTGTACTGGGTACAAGTTGGTCTAACATAGGAAGTTGGCAGAGCAGACTGTCCCATACGGAGGACGAACTGCAACAACCCGCACTGTCTGATAGTGACAGACTGTCCCACTCGGAGGACAGCTGTACCAGCAGCACTGTCTGGTATTGACAGACTGTACCAGCCACACTGTCTTGTAGTGACAGACCGTCCCATCTGGAGGACAGGCTGTAAGATTGTATTATATTTGTATATATATATACATATAATTGTTAGTCGTTACTTTATATCGGCAAAGAGCTCGTGTGTATATTTTAGTTCATTGTGTATAACATAGATAGTTAATAGTATTGCCGTATTGTTTATAGACAGCTTGAATCCAAGTATTTACTGGAACGTTCGTTTGAAATATAAACGCCTGGTTACACGTTACAGTGGAATGTAGACAGACGACCTTGCGACATGAAGGTCTTGTGACCTTCAAAAACTTCTGAACCATTTAAATGTTTTCCCCTAGAAATGACCAGGTGACCACAGGTAATTTGACCTACCTTATGACCCTACATTCCCTTTCAATCACTATTTACTGTTTCGCATCACAACAACAATCGAATATAGACTGATAACTATTATCAAATCTGGTGATATAGACGTGAGCGTAGGTATCAAGCCAGGGGACAGCACTCGTCAGCTGTTTAAGTTAAGAAACAACCACGTGTGTAGCTATGAGAACGTCTTTCACAATTATCTATGATAGAACAAAAATATAATACCAGCTTAAATTTATATACATGTATATACAATATACAAAATGTTATAATATAATATCTAATAAATATTTACTGCAGAAATCAAAATGATAATCTGAATGAATGTAAACAATTGATAATCATTATTTACTTAAACTTTTGCACTATACACGTAGATCATTGTTGATTAATTAATGTGCATGTGCACTTTGAATATTCTGTTTATGAATTACTTATCATTATATATTATCATGCATTACTACACCTATGGCGATCGTGGTGCATGCTGGTCATGTGACGCTTTTTACTGTGACAGATTCTTACAATTTTAGAATTCAACCGGTGTTGAAACAAGTAATTATGGGTGACAAAATTAACCACATTAGAGTGTGTAATCCAATGTTTGTTGCGGTGCGCATATTTCCACTACTTTTATATCTTTGAAAATGTAGATATTAGTTAGGGCACGTCCGGTGGAAAGCTTATAGTAATTAGCTTGCCCATCCGTGCGTCTGTGCGTCCCTGGTGTATGTGCGTCTGTCACAAATCCTTTACACTCTCTAATTTTTAAACCTCTCGGTGTTTCGTAATGAAATTCACCCCTACAAGTGCCGCGTAAAAGCAAGAAAACCCTACAGTGAAGGTCAAGATAAAAACAACTCGTTCAACTTATTCATCCTTGTGAATCATTCGTCACAACTCGGCCGATTCCGTACCTTCATCTAAGGATAGAAGGAGAGTAGCGGATTCACCCGAGGATTGCCGATAGCCCTGTGAATATGTAGAACATATAAGTCGTTTCCGCATTGAAACCGCTTGAAGTTGATCAATGAAACTCTGTATGATTATTTATCACTTCTTAAAGATGTATCGGATACAAGGAAAGAATCCATTTACAAAAAGTTACGAAAAAAAATAAGTTCAACTTAGCAATCCTTGTGTATTAGGGTCTGGATGGGGTTTACATATTAGAGAATGATGGACAAAATGTGCAGAATAATGGTAAAAATTTAAAGAATAGAAAATATAGGCCAACAATATAAAGAATGCAGTTAACTTGAGAGGCGAAAGATACCAGAGGGACATTCAAACTAATATGTCGAAAGTAAATAGACAACGACATGGCTAAAAAAGAAAAAGACAAACAGATAAACAATAGTAAACAAAACACAACATAGAAAACAAAAGGCTGAGCAACACGAACGTCACCAACAATTAGGGGTGATCTCAGGTGCTCAGGAAGGGTTGTGATGGTTCCAATCGTTATTCTCTTGATAATTTAAAAACGTGTAAAATTTTTAAAAAAATCAAGTAACGCATATTCCTTCTTTACCTGATGTAGATTATATTAATATAAAAAAGAAGATGTGGTATGATTACCAATGAGACAACTCTTCACAAGAGACCAAATGACACAGAAATTAACAACAGAATGTGGCGGAGTTAAACATGTTAGCGGGATCCCAACACCAACCCCCTAACCTGGGACAGTGGTGTACATGTACAACATAAGAACGAACTATAAAAATCAGTTGAAAAGTCTTAACTCATCATCATGTAATAGATATCACATAAGTTGTATATTTTGACATATATTTGCAAGATGGAAGTATTGAGCACATGCAGGGGCAGATCCAGGCATATTTAAAAGGTTGTGTGTGGGGGTGGATCCAAACATATGTCCCCATTCAAAAGCATTGGTCGTGAAAAAAGGGGGTTACAACTCCCATCAAACATCCTTGGCGGAAGAATTGTTTTGTTAAGTGACCTTGATGACTTTTATACTTTATGTGATAGATGCAGCCGGTATACTTCCATCAAACACCCTTGGCGGAGGAATAGTTTGGTTTGATAACTTTGATGACTTTTATACTTTAAGTGATAGATGCAGCCGGCAAACCGCCAGCAAACATCCTTGGCGGAGGAATCGTCTGGTTTGGAGATTTTGATGAGTGTCTAGCTGTACAGGATGTCGCCACCAATGTTAGCGGTATCAAGTACAGATTTGATGCACAATATTGCAAAGCACGTGTTCCGCTGAAGGGTCCCCTCGGAAATATAATACCTGTAAGTAACAAAATATAAAAGCAGTAAGTAACAATACTGCAAAGCACGTGTTCCACTGCGGGGACTTCTAGGAAATATAATACCCGTAAGTTACAATTGATTGGCGTTAAATGAAAAAATTCTGTAACCTGGAACCCACGTCTATTTCTTTAAGAAAATATATGTTATGTAATGGCATATAGATACAATTTCAAATACGAAACTCCATATGCTAATTTTAAAATTTCGAAGAAATTCACATATTTGAGCCTCATTATGTCATAAACCAGGAAAATATATATCACATCAGGTTAAACAAAGAAAAAGGGTAAATAGTTATTAGCTAGGAGTTTAAAACACTACCAGTTTTTCTGCTATATTACAAAAGTTGCACATGTAATTTTTTTAAAATGTCTCTCAATGTTTCAAAAATATCGCATTTAACCCAAACCTATTACATATTCTTTCAGGGAAATCCGACAGTCACTATTGGTGTATGTGTGCCTGACAGTTGTTCTAAGAAGGACGTACAAAATTTGCTTCGTAAATGTAAGACGTAATTACCACCACTAAAATGATATTCGAAACTTTGAATAAAACCATTCCTTTAATTAGGGCAACACAACATTTTCTAACACGTGCATGTCTTTAATCATAAAACAAAAATGCATTCGTATCTTATTCTAGAATGGTTGAAAGCATTATTGCATATGCATTTTATTTTTTATTTAATAAAACAGACGGAAGAAACCAAAATGAAAATAAACCCCATTAGTCGACGAGAGGCCAACAAAATCATGGCAAAAAAAAAACGACGACATATCTTCTACTAATGATTTATGTGCGAGCTAGCAGTTTATGTTACACCTCAATCTTTTATGTGTTCTCAGAGACGCTAGTTAATACAATTTTTACTAAAAAAAAACAATAATAAAAATATCAAAAATACCAAACTCCAAGGAAAATTAAAAATGGAAAGTCCCTTATCAAGTGGCAAATCAAAAGCTCAAACACATTAAACGAATGAAAAAACAACTGTCATATTCCTGACTTTTGTACTGAACCTATCTTTAAAGACTTGTCAGTATTTTAATGCATTCGTCTTATCAATTGCGTTATATTCAGTATTGCTGTTTATACTTGTCACACACAGTCCATTATACATATGTTCATTACCGGAGCAAAACAATCGAACTAAGTTACTTTAAAACTGTTTAAGGATGTTTGCTACTCTGTTTCAAAATAACAAGCTTTTTAAAAGACTGTTATGAATTGATAGTATATTTGTAACTGAACTTATAAAGAAGAAAAAAATGATAGGTCCGTGTGCTTGTTTTTGAGATATAAGCCATTGAAAATTTGGCGGGAAATGATTCTCTCTAGATTTTTCATAAAATTAACATTGGCAGCATTTTCTTTCAAAAACTATGAAAAAATAACAAGGTTTTTATAAGATTTTCAAATATGACTTTTAAAACTATATGTAATAAAATTATGAAATGAAAAGTAGGGCTTAATGGGCAAAATTTTTAATTGGTAGTAGATGGATAAAACCAGAGGATTCCGAATATCTGACAAAAAATCAAAAAGAAGAGAAGCGAACATCCTTAATTGTTTTACACATGTAAATTACAGTGACTGCACATACTTTTCAAATTAACATTTTTTAAATTATACTGTGGATTCATTAATTTTCGATGATTAAATTTGTTTAAAGAAGTTTTCGAGGATACTAGATTTTGTGGTTTTTGACTTATTAGTATGATGCGGAGACTTTGTAATTTACGAAACACTTAAATGCATATTTCATCAATACCCGATAAATGGGCTTACATTAGTATCCCAAGAAATGAATACAAAGCATTGCAGATTGGAAACATCGTACTCTGCAGGCCAGTTGAAAAACATGATTACCATATGAAAACTAAGCTGCACAAATATATCATCATTTGTAAATGTTTAACGATTGCTTGACGTGTTATTCAGTTTTATATGAGAATGTATCAACCGAATTGACAGCCAGTATACAGACCTGTGTAGAAACAGACATACCATACGATTCTAGGGCTCAAATAGTACTGTAAGTATTTAACTAAAACTACATTAAAATATAACTCAGCATGATAGAACCTTTAAAATAACGTTTCTTAGATAAGCTCATCTTCGCTAGACAAGGGTTACGATCCAGTGCCCTCTTCTCCACCGTGGGCAGATTAAGGTAGAATTTCGGATCCACGAGGTAAAGATTTCCATCGGTCGCAGTTGTAACTGGTTGCATCCAATCAAAATGCGCCTTTAAGGTGATCACGTGTAAATGTAGAAACTGTTAATAAACAATTGCCACGTGTTGATTGTGCAACAAATATTAATCCCAAAACATATGACGATATGTAGTGAAAATTGCAATGTTCAAAATAAACTAATTGAAAGTTCTTGTGTATGTTTCTCGAGCAAATGTTGGAATGTCAACGTGTAATTTCGGTTCCTGCTTCAGGAAATTTGTAAACACTGGACACAACATTTTAACACCTCCACACTGAAGAGAGTTTAAGTGCTTACATTGGTCGAGAACGATGTAATCGGAATAGGCGTGACATTTATCTACCGGTAGATGGTGCAGCATTGTAATCACAAATGTTGGCTTAATTTGCCAAGGGTGGAGAGGATGGGACTGGATCGTAACCCTTGGCTTGCGAAGAAGAGATGAGCTATTGATGTCAAAGAAATAAAATACAGATCCGTGTCAGAAAAACATCATCGAGTCAAAACCAATAGGATCTAACAGAACAAACAATTCAAAGATAAGGTCATCTTTATTAATGGGAGAGTGTTTAGCTTTCAGCTTATATAAAGAAAGTCATAAATGATATCTATGTGATTCATTTGAATTGTGACATTTATCCAATTTCAATACATTAAATTTTCTTCGGAAGAAAATGGTGTTTTTTTATTTCAAAAGCGGTCTACTTTATTGTTTCGTTTTTTAATGCAACAACTGATATTGATTGTATAAATAATTAAAATCATGAAAAAAATCATTTCAAACAAGACTTTAACAAATTCCATTTATAGATATTAGAAGATGTAGTATGAGTGCCAATGAGACAACTCTCCATCCAAGTCACAATTTGTAAAAGTAAACCATTATAGGTCACAAAGTACGGTCTTCAACATGGTGCCTTGGCTCACACCGAACATCAAGCTATAAAGGGCCCAAAAAATTACTAGTGTAAAACCATTTAAACAGGAAAACCAACGGTCTAATCTATACAAAAAAAACGAGAAATGAGAAACACTTATGAACCACATCAACAAACGACAATCACTGAACATCAGGTTCCTGACTTGGGACAGGTGCAAACAAATGCTCAAGAACTCAAAAAGATAAAACTTCCAATTATAGTTACTAGGGACCAAGACTTTTTATTTTTTAATAAGTTTTATGATCTAAATGAGGTTCCTTTCTATATTTCAGTAACGACCTAATTAGTTCATATTTTTAATTAAGATTCTGTTGAAGTTGTACATTGTTGTTTTAATAATTGAGGCAAATGTTTTACAGGGTTGTGATAGGACTGTTTATTTCCGCCATGTTACTCGGAACCGGATATGACCTCATTGTTATACAATGGCCGAAATGGCGACGGATAGAAGAAATCACATCAAGTGAGGAGATCGCAATCGAAGCAAGTGAAAAACAGCAATTGATTGAAGGAACTAAATCACGCATCAAAGAATATCAACCCGGTATTACCATGATATAAATCATAAGGTTTTTTTTCTATATTATAAGTCAGGCGTTAACTGTGAAAAAGGACTAAGTCCATATAACGATTTTTGTTTTCACGTTAACTGTGAAAAAGGACGAAGTCCATATAACGATTTTTGTTTTCATTGTTTTGTTGTCATCATTCTTTTGTGGTGATCGGATATACAAATTTGCGAGAAATCTTATAACTTACAACATGGCAGCGGTCGTCAACAGAACAGGAACAGGGAAATTCGCAAATGCAAAAGTTAAAAAAAGTAATCTAGTTTAAGTTGATAGTATAGTGATCTTTATATTGATTTTTTTTGTTTCATTACATGTTTTACTGTTATTGAGAACTTCGTCCTAATATTAATAGTTTTTTAAGTATATACATGTAGGCATTATTATATTTAATACAATTTTTATGGGTTCGTTTGGCGGGAGATGCATACACGGCAGGATGCGTGCACCCTATCGATGCACTCGGTCTCGCTCATTTTAGAGTTCATTTTTCGGTAGTTTGTGTGTGTTAGCTTGATTCATCTTCTTAAAACGATTTATGATATTAGATCATCGATAGACTACTGTTTCTTTAGTTGGATTCATTAAGTTCTAAAAAAATCTTTGAGCAAAATATAACTTAATTGAAAGTAAATTTTTCTTATACACAGTTATGATTAATACAATATGTCGCCAAAGTAAAACATAAAATAAAAAAATACACAACGCAGCTATTAACAGGATGAACACTCACTTGGGTAATGAAATATGATTGATTGATTGATTGATGGTTGCTTAACGTCCAGTGGCAAATATTTCATGCATGTTCAGGACGAGAACAAGTTAACAATCAATAGGTAGGTCTTGTAATAGAGGCCTTCGGGGATGAAGGTCGGGGAAATTTGAACTGTCACTGGAAAATGAGAGTATATTGGATAGGGACAGAAATTTTGCCTTGCAACAGGCCACCTACGGACCCCTCAAGAGTTGTTGCAAGGGTTCTTAACGTGCAGAGAGCTTGACTCTCTCTTTACACGAGTCATCGGATTTAACGTCCCCATTCTGACCGGACGTGGCTGCAAACTTGTACATCCCGCACAGCCAAACGGACGCCCCACTTTGGCAAGCGTTTTACTGCCGGTCGGAAGAAGACCGAGTGACCATACTTCTATTCCCCAGTCACCCTTGGGGGGTAATGAAATATGAAAAAAAAACGGTATTTGATTTAGAAAGTAGAATAAAAATGTGCTCGCTACTAGAAGAAGCTAGGTGAAGTGACTGCAATTAAAAGAAAACAAACAAAAATCAAACACTCTTGATAGACCAAACTTACTTGAAATTGGCAGTAATTATAAGAGCCAATGTGCAAGTATTCATAACCGTGAAAAGAAATAATTGGTTTTTTTTTTTGGTAGTTGAATTAATAAGTATTTCACTATTTGGGATGTAAGAACTTTTCATTCTTTAAGCAGTTAACCTTTTTAGTTGAATGAAAAGAGAATACCCAAAATATTATATTAAACATTATTTGTATTTAAGAAAAATAGAAACAAAATATCTTGGATAGTTTCTGAATACAACTTATATTTTCAGGTATCCCAGGGAAGCTACTGTTATCCTTCTCAGTGTACTCAAATGGTTCTAAAATTCTAGATACAAATCAGGGAAAAGGAGTTATAACATGTATAAATGGAATCCGATTCCTGTCCATGACGTGGGTAATCATTGGTCATGCATTCAGTGCACCTAATAATATTGCAGGTAAATAGACTACTAAAAAAAATACCGAACTCCGAGGAAAATTCAAAACGGAAAGTCCCTAATCAAATGGCAAAAACAAAAGCTCAAATAAAGGCAACAGTAGTATACCGCTGTTCGAAGGTCATAAATCGATTGAGAGAAAACAAATCCGGGTTACAAACTAAAACTGAGGGAAACTCATCAACTATAAGAGAAAACAACGAAACAACAGAAACACTGAAGTGAACAAAAAACAAACGGCAATGCAACACACACAGAAACGAACTATAAGTAACAACTGCCATTTTCCTGACTTGGTACAGGACATTTTAAGAAAAAATATCAAACGAATGGATAACAACTGTCATATTCACAATGTTGCAAGATATGTCCAGGAAAACGGAGTTGTTTATGATATAATATACTAGGGATATTTTATTGAACAAATTATGAAGAGTGTCATGACATTTTAAACCTATTATCTCTTCATAAGAATACCGGTATGTTGATTAGACATTTTATATCATTTCGGTTGTTTTTTTGCAAATAATAGTTCCTGCTTTGTTAAACGTCTTATAAACATACCCATTATCCTGGCAGTAACAGCTGCAACGTTAAGAACAATTCAGGGTGAGCATATGAAAACATTAGAATTTTGTGTTTTGTGTACTGATTTTTGTCTTTTCGTCGTTTTCGTTTGGTTTGTTTTTGCCATGGCATTATCAGCTTGTTTTCGATTTAAGAGTTTCAATATCCATTTGGTATCTCTCGCCTCTTTTCTCATGCATTTATTGTTAGATTTCAATTCAGAATTGAATGCTTCTTTTTGTAACTTCATTGGGGTGTAAAAGCGTTGACCGAAGTACATTTTGTATGAAGCGCGGAAGCGCTTCATTCTAAAAATGTGCGCACGGTCAACACTTTTACAACCCTATGAAGTTACAAAAAGAAGCATTCAATACTTATAATTACATTTTTTAGCTATGATCAATAAAACACGATTTTTATCAAGTTTTTATTTAAATTACCTGTGCACTTTATTGTGGGACCTCGTGTCATCATGAATGATAAATTTCATTGTGTAATGAAGTTGATTAAGGAATAACGCGAGATTGTAGTTATAATAGCCAATCAGAATAACGTATTATAATGAAACCTACATCTAATGTAATTATTGTTTGGTATTGGTACTACTACATTAATCATCAAATTGGGGTTAGTTTAACCTAGTGCGACAGGAAATCATGCTCGAATAATATCTTAATATCAAATTTCATTTTTCCAATATTCAGTTATACATGAACGCATTAGATTGGGTACCGTTTATGTCATTATAACAGATATACGATGTCATTTCATATCTTCCAATGCAATGATAAAAGTAGCAAAAAATTTGAAACAACACGTTTTATAATTTCATGCGTCCGAAGCGCTTTTCAAAACATATCGTTGTGCATTTTCATTTCAGATAATATTGCAGAATTTATGCCACGCATGCTCAAACGATGGACATTTATGGCCGTTTGTAATGCATATGTGTCCGTTGATTCCTTTTTCACCTTAAGGTAAATATACAGAACTTATAAAACAAGAAGTAGAATATGCACATATCATGCTATGAACAAGTGTTAAATCGAGGCTGCTACAGCTTTTGTCTTTGGCTGCTACAATGAAGATAGAAGGTGCATGTTTATTTAAAACAATTATTGATATTTACACAAGCACAGCATAACCAGGTTGGTTGTTTTGCGCCAAAGAGAACTCGTTGTTGTTGGGGGTTTTTTTTGTTGGCGATATTGTTATCCCCATGCAAAGGCAATTAATTGGACGCAACAGTGTAAAATCGTACTAGGTAATCATAGCTATCAAATGCAAAATAAAATAAACGTTTGTCTTCTGATATAACATAGAATTAAAATGAGGAAGTTTTAAACATTATGTAAATAATCGCTGCATGATGTTTATTCATATTGTAGTGGACTTTTACTGACATATTTGGTGATGAAAGAACTGGCGAAAAACAAAGGACGTCTAAAGTGGTTCATGTTTTATTTTCATCGATTTTGGAGGTTAGATACTAATGTTTATGTTAAGCAAATAGTGATAAGTCTTCTGTTAACACCAACACCCTTAAAGTGTATCTTTTTATATAAATAAGAAATGTGGTATGAGTGCCAATGAGACAACTCTCCATCTAAGTCACAATGTATAAAACGTTAACAATTATAGGTCAAAGTACGGCCATTAACACGGAGCCCTGACTCACACCGAACAGCAAGCTATAAAGAGCCCCAAAATGACTAGTGTAAAAACAATTCAAACAAGAAAACCAACGGTCTTATCTATATAAAAAGTCCTTTATCAAATGGCAAAATCAAAAGCTCAAACAAATCAAACGAATGGAAAACAACTGTATTTCTGACTTTGTAAAGGCATTGCCTTATGTACATGATGGTGAATTAGACCTGGTTTTATAGCTAGCTAAACCTCTTACTTGTATGACAGTCACCTCTCACGTGTATGACTTTCGCATAGAACGCATCATATTGACATCAATGTGTGAGCAAAACAAACAGACATAATAGGACAAATGTCAAAAATAGGGGTACAGCACTCAACATTGTGTTATAATCTAAATCACTATAACAAAAAAATAACCGGTTCAACAAAGAAGAACAAATTAACATATAGACACTCTAAAGACAAAGTACAAAAGCAAACATAAGAATGCAAAAAAGTCCATAGCACAATAACACAATGGCGGGATGTATAAATACTGTGACACGAAGAGGAGGATAAGGAAGCCGACCATGCGAGGGCTGTATAGCCAGTCAAGGTCGTTAAAAAATCCCATCATCGAGAATTATATTATCCTGTGTTGAAGAATGATAAATAACACTGTGGGATGGTAAAAAAAAGTTGTAGAATTGTGTGGATTCATTTGCTTACGTGGATTAATTGTATGTTCATTTTAAATATAAGCTTTGGTTTGATGTGTATTTGCCAATTACTTACCGGAAAAGATACTGTAAACATACTTATTTTCGCGGATACTTTATTTCGCGTTTTGCATTTTCAATTCGACTTCGCGGCGATTTATTTTCGCGATGTTTTAATTTCGTTGGTTTATTAATATAAGAGACGATCGAGGTTTAACATATTCGCGACGATTTATATTCGCGATATTTTTCTACTCGTGAAAGTCGCGAAAATTAATTGCTCGCGAAAATTAGTTGATTTACAGTACTTTACACCCATACAATTTTTGTAAAGCAATTCTTTAAGCAAAATATATTTGTGGGTCAATGTTTAAGATGATTTACCCTAAAAAAAAAAGGCTATTTTGGAAGTTTTAGAAGTTTCCATTTTAAAGAAAGAAGTTTTGACTAAACATGTAAAATAGAGAATGCCCTATAAATCTCCCATGGATGTTATTTGGTAGATTTATAAACCCTTTTTATACGCCCGTCAACTTTTTGACGGGACGTATTATGTTATACAAATGTCCGGCGTCCGTCCGTCTGTCCGTCTGTCTGTCCGTCTGTCCGTCTGTCTGTCCGTCTGTCTGTCCGGCGTAAACATGTCGCACCGTAACTTGAGAATGACTTATCCAAATTTCATGAAACTTAACATAGTTGTTTCTTATGATGGTCAAACGATCTGTATACTTTTTGGTGAAAATAAGATTAAAACTTTTTGAGTTACGGGACTTAGTAACTAAAACAGGTGTGTGTTTTTTTTCACATGTCGCGCCGTATCTCAAAAACAATTTATGATTATTGCTTAAAACTTTACACACTTCTTAGTTATATTAATCTTAAGATCTGTATACTTTTTGGTGATGATTCAAATTTTATTTTTGAGTTATTGAGTATTTGTTAAAAAGGGGGAGGGGTTTTTCACATGTCGCGCCGTATCTCAAAAACAGTTTATGATTATTGCTTAAAACTTTACACACTTCTTAGTTATATTAACCTTAAGATCTGTATACTTTTTGGTTTTGATTCAAAATTTTATTTTTGAGTTATTGAGTATTTTGTAAAAAAAGGGGGAGGGGTTTTTCACATGTCGCGCAATATCTCAAAAATGATTTATGATTATTGCTTAAAATTTTACACACTTCTTAGTTATATTAATCTAAAGATCTGTATACTTTTTGGTTTTGATTCAAAATTTTATTTTTGAGATGTTGATTTTTTTTTTTAAAAGGGGTGTTTTCACATGTCGCGCCGTATCTCAAAAACGATTTATGATTATTGCTTAAAATTTTACACACTTCTTAGTTATATTGATCTAAAGATCTGTATACTTTTTGGTTTTGATTCAAAATTTTATTTTATAGATATTGAGTTTTTTGTAAAAAAAAAAGGGGGTTTTCGCATGTCACGCCGTATGTCAGAAACTATTTATGCTTATTGCATAAAAATTCACACACAAGACGACGGGCGTATCATGCGCTCATGGCGCAGCTGTTTATAATATTTTTGAGTTCAAGGAAGCAATAGTCGCCTTATCATACTTTTCATTTTGAGTTTTGAATTTTTTTTTATTGTGCATTTTGATAAAGAATACACTTAAACGATGTGTAAGTAAGTACTCATTAATCTATTTTTTTACAAGTACTGATTTAACTATACCTCAATACAATATACAGGTTAACGCCTCCATATATGTTAGTTATCATGGTTTCCGTATCACTATTCCACTACACTGGAAGTGGACCGAACTGGCCAACAAGTGGAATAGACAAAGGTTGCGAAAAGGGATGGTGGTACAATCTATTGTATATCAATAACTTTGTAGAGGACAACAAGAAGAAGGTATGCATTATAAGGCATTTGTTGCCACGTCCAAGTGATTCAACAAAGTATACATTTCGTGCTATACATGTATCACTAATCAAACTAAAATCATATCCAGTAGTGTCACTACTGTGAGTATCAAATCTAAGAATCCATAGAAATTAGCATAATTAGGAAAAAAGCTCATACGAAAACAATAAGTTTAAAATTTAATATGCCCAACGCGCGTTTCGTCTACATAAGACTCAATTTGTGGCATTCAAATAAAAAAATGTAGAGAAAGAAGTTTTAATATATCTAAGCATCTGAGATACGCAAACCCTACAGACATAGGTAGATGGTATTAAGTAGATGAAGTCAATAGGAAAAGTAGTTGTATCGATTCAGTTGTAGTTAATAAAAACAAAGCACAATTTATTTCCTGTGATTATCATTTCTGTATCAAACCTAGACAGTCAATTTGGAAGCTTCATAATCCCGTGTGCTACAAAGTCTTTTGCATACCATCTATCGACATAAACAGAAATTCTTTCAAAGAAACAAAACAAATGGAAATCTTTTTAAAAAATAAAATATTAAAAATACCGAACTCCGAGGAAAGTTCTAAACGGAAAGTCTCTAAGCAAATGGCAAAATCAAAAGCTCAAACGCATCATATAATTGGATAACAACTGTCATATTCCTGACTTGGTACAGGCATTTTCTTATGTAGAAAATGGTGGACTAAACCTGGTTTTATAGCTAGCTAAACCTCTCACTTGTATGACAGTCGCATAAAATTCCATTATATTGACAACAATGTGTGAACAAAACAAACAGACATAATAGGTAAAAATGTCAAAAATAGGGGTACAGCAGTCAACATTGTGTTATAATCTTAATCACTACAAAAACAAGCAAATATGTCAACAAAGACAAACAAAAAGGCATATAGACAAAGCTCATTATCAAAAAACGAAAGACAAGTAAATAAAGATGGTTTTTATTGCAGTGTTTTGGAGTTGCATGGTACTTAGCGAACGATATGCAGTTCTATATCCTTAGTCCACTCATACTTCTACCGTTATACCAGTAAGTGTTTTCATTAATAGTATTATTAATAATATATTCGTGTGCTTACATCTTAACTCTAAAAAGTATTCAAAGATACTATTTAAAAATTGTGATTATTTTTTTTAAATTTTTATATCAAAGTAAATATCTTTGGATTTTTGTTGGGTTTTTTTGTTTGCCATGACGTTGTCAGTTTGTAAACAACTTATAATTTTGAGTATCTATTTGGTATCGTCCGCCATTGTTTTGCACGTTCTATGATATATTTAATCTAAAAAATAATTCCGCAAGACCATGCATTTCTTAATTTTAATCTTTATCCTTAATTAAAATGATTATCTTTACAGGAAATTGTCTATTATTGTGGGTTTTTTTTCGATGCACATCAAATGTTAAATTGTTTATTGCAGGTTAATGATAATATAAGAACTAAGTTTGGATTAGACCTTTAAATTTCTATTTGATAAACAAACGGCTTTTTTTATCATCAGTTGTTTTGAAAACAAATACCAGTAGTTTGAAATGAATATTTCATAATATTTATCAGCTCAGATAGCTGTGATATATAATCTGATTTACTTGTTTTGAATTTATTATATTGAAAACATGAAAATAAATAAATGGGACAGTAGTTCATAAATCGATTCAGCGAAAACAAATCCGGGTCACAAACCAAAACCAAGGGAAACAGACCAACTCTGAGATGAAAAAATGGAACAACAGAAACACTGAACTGGAACAAAACCAAACGCCAACATACATAGAAACGGACTATTTGATAATAACTGCCATATTTCTGACTTGGTTCAGGACATTAATAGATTAATAGAAAAAATGGTGGATTGAACCTGGTTTTATGGCTAGCCAAACCACCCGTTTGTATGGCAATGTTAAAAATACCACTAAAATTACTTTACCTGACAGGAATACAGTACAAATAAACGCAAGAACACTCAGCACAGAAAAACACATAAATAAATAATAAGTACATTACAACATATTAACCACAGAATAACAACCGACACCTCCCTTGAATTTACGACAGTATGTACCAGGACACCACAATAGAATTATACTGTGTGTCACACAAATGTATCATCGCCACAAATAGTTATGTATTAATGTATCGAAAATAACAATAAAGATTGTTTTTACTGTTTTACATCATGTATGTTATATTTACTTTAAACTTCCCGCATGTATTTGTTATAAATTATAAGTAAAAAATTTAAATCAAACATTAAATTTTCAATAAACAAGCATCAGTAATTAAATAAACAATACTAGTAGAATGAATTGAATATTTCATGTATATTCATAAGGTACTTGTTAAAGATTTATTATATTGGAAACACGGATATAAAATGTATCGGGAATAACAACAAATCATATCAATAAAGATTATATTTACTGTATTATATCACATATGTTATATTTATTTGTGTACGTCCCGCATGTATATGTTATTTGTGTACGTCCCGCATGTATTTATTTGTGTACCTCATGCATGTATTGTTTTATCATTGTTCCATTCTAGCTTCCATTTACTTGGTGTTGGTATTTTGATGGTGTTCCTTGTAGGCACTACAATAACAGCAGGAGTTATATCATCTCATTATGATATTCCCGCCAATAATTTTGACGCGTAAGTTTTGGTTTTCTTTTATCTAATTAAGAATCATACATCTAAATATCTGTTTATAAGTTTTTTTATTAACATTTTAACAGTTTTCATTAACACCATAACATAATGTATAAAAAAAAGTAAAGCTTTTAATCAATTAGGAAGTTTAAGAGTACCAAACAGTTTATGACAAGCGTTGACAGTGTTAGTTAATTCTATCTTAAAATATCTAAGCTGAGAGACTGATAAGAATGTTCTCAATCAACTGATTACTTGGAAGATGATAGTCTCTGCCTTTTTAAATGGCAAAATTTATTTAATTTTAAATCATTACCAACTGAACTTCTGCACTCAGAGCTTGGTTTTGTCATCTATATTTACGAAGACTATTCAGGAGTTTAATTCATTGCGTGCTCAGCTATTTTACTTATTATAAAGAGGAATATGTTATGCAAGCATGCTTACTTTTGTCTGAAAGAGCTTTATAATTTACAAAATTCATGGATCGAGATCTTATGAAAATAAATACTGCTTGTGGAATTATAATGGAATCGTCGATTAGGATTCCATGAACGACTTAGATGTACGTCAAAACAAAAAATAATGTAATATCTTTAAACACTTTATTCAGAGGAAATAGCAAAGACTGGTTCGCGAAAATCTACATTAAACCATACTGCAGAATGGGTCCCTATTTGGTGGGAATGTATGCCGGGTATCTACTATATAAAACCAACTGTAGACTTCAAATAAACAGGGTATGTTGATTCAGGGTATGTTATATAAAAGAAAGGGTAAGTCCACCATGTTATATCTAATTATTCATGTTTAGTGGAGACGCTACACATTGGAAGAAACTGTACGTTAAACCCTACTGTAGAATTGGACCTTATCTGGTTGGCATGTATGCTGGTTACATACTATATAGAACCAATTGTAAAGTTCACATCAACAGGGTAAGTTTTCATTGTCAAATATAATTATCTGCCTTTCTAATGCAATTCGTTTAGAACGATAATTTCATTGGACATTGACAAATATCTTAACGGGTTAGATTCCACGTTCAACCAGTCCGTTACTAAAGAAAGCCACCATTTTGAATTCCGAATTGTTTTGGTGTTGGTTACATTCTATATAGGACCAATTGTAAAGCCAATATCAATAGGATAGATTTTCATTGGCTAATAAATATAATTGTCTGCTATTCATATGAATTTCACTAATTCTGTTATAATTTTAAGCCTGGTATCTATGATGAGTTTAAACAAAGGTTTGCCAGAGAATCATTGAATGGGATTAACAGTGGTTAAGTCTTGATAAAAGGCAAATAAATGAAATGTTTGTAAAAAATAAAAAAAACCCACCTAATTTAAAAGAGTTGGTTGGATAAGGCCATAAACTTACGCATTAGCGTTCTTTTCATGACGTCACAAATGTCTCACATTTTGATTTTCCACGATAATTCAGGAAAACAAGTAAAATTCCATTCATCTTTTGGACTGGAAACATAACAAGAAGGATATTTGTACATATTGTTTGTATAACATTTTACATATCTGATTTTGATATTTAGTTTGACGAAGCCTACGCTATATGTTTCCTAGCCATAAATTTGGTAGAAATCCAGACGATTGTGTCAAATTTCATTAGAATCTCTGCTTTGGCCTATTTTGGGTTGTAAATGTTAACGCTTTGTTAGAAAAGATGCACAAAAGTAGTTCTATTTCACTTTTTTTCATCAACATTTCATCAACTTAAAACATTTTTTATCTATGGACTTAATATTCAGGGCCAAATATGGTCCTAAACGAACTTACTTCTTTAATATTAGAGAACCGGTAAACTACTGGAAAACATAGTAGATAAAAACTTCTAAACATACATCACAGACATATAACACAACTGACTAAAAATATCAAACAAACATACAAATTAATCTAACAAAGATGCTAACAAAAAAGGTCCGAGTAAGTAAGATAGTTCATAACTCAAATTACGAAATACATATTTAAAGCACGTATTCGCATTTGTCAAACATACAGGTAACAATTTTGTTAATGATATTTCTTTTATACAACTTTATTTAGTATCTGAATTTGGCTATCTGGTCAGCGGCTATAGGTACTGGAATGGCCATTGTTTACGGGTTATACGATGACATCAATAGCGACACGCCGCTTCCAACATCGGTAGCAGCTTTTTACAACGCTGTACACAGAACAGCTTGGGGACTCTGTATTTCGTGGGTTATTTTTGCTTGTGCAACTGGAAATGGAGGTACTGTAAAGCATAGCAAACCTTTTTTCTTTACGTGAAATATAGTAAAAAAACACTTGAAAATTACGATTTAACAATTATGATTATTCACATGTTCCCTGGCATTACTTCTTCCTGTCTGTAACAGATTACTTTACTAATATAATAATAAGGAAATGTAGTATGATTGCTAATGAGACAACTATCCACCAAAGTTCAAATAAAGTGGATGTAAGTAATAATAGACAACCGTACGGCCTTCAACAATGAGCAAAACCCATACCGTATAGTCGGATATAAAAGGCCCCGACATTAAAAATATGAAACAATTCAATTGAGAAAAATTAATGGCCTAATTTATAACAAAACAATTTACGAAAAACAAATATGACAGACATGCACCAACGACAACCGCTGAACTGCAGGCTCCTGACTTGGAACAGGCAAATAAAGATCATAAATAGGCTAAATCCTCCCCAATATTTTTTCCAGATCTCTCTTAATGGAATTTGATATTGGAATGAAACATAACTTTAATATAGCTTTTGTGTTTCATCTGCAACTCTAAAAAGAAGTATGAAAAAAGACGAAATGTGCAATGGATAAGCATTTGTAAAACGTGTATCATTCATCATGCAATACAAACAACAGGTTGCATATGAGGAATGCATGAAAAATATAGCTGATAAAAATGCAGGCAATGTAGCCCTGTAGTATTATGTAGTAAACCAAAAAATCAAACTTTAATTAATTTAATTAACCAGGTTGAAAAGTTATTGTGAAAAGCATAGGGCAATTTGAAAATGTTATCAGCCCGTGGAAACATATATGGGCAATGTGAAAAAGAAGAACAGATTTTCAGCTGAGAGGGTTTTTGTGTGGCGTTTTAATATATTCTTCTCATCTCATCTCGCTCATATACATCATTCTGGTACTAATGTGTTTTATTTTTAATAGGATTTATTAACACTATCTTGTCATGGAAAGCTTTTATCCCATTGAGTCGGCTGACATATATGGCTTATCTGGTCCACATGATGATACTCAACCATTGGAAGTACTCACAGACGAAAACTATACACTTGTCTGATAGTGAATACGTGAGTATAACCAGCGTCACTGATTAGTTTTTTAAGACGACACGCAGGTTCGGCGTTAAACATTTTACTAGGGTTCGAGACAACTCGACCCGGAGACAACTCGGACCGTCTTCAAAAAAGACAACTCTAGGTTAGTTATAATGAGTATGTTTAATTCATCAATAAAAACGAAAACGAGTTTTCAAAAATGTTTTATTTTCATTGTCGAGACTCACTAACATTTTTGACATGTCTAACATTTACCAAAATCAAAGATAAGGAAATACAGTATAAGTATTGCATCCTCAAAATGGCAAAAGGTTTCATAAAGTAAAACGACGAAAAGATTATATGTTTAATAATATATTTTTTTAATTGCCCTTCATCTTTGCTGTTTAGTTATTTTCGAAGATACAATGAAAACATGGAACACATAATGTTTACTTTATTTTACAGATTTACGAGATTGTTGGTCATATTGTGTTGTCGTTTATGGCCGCTTTTGTGACGTCATTAGCGTTTGAATCACCAATGTTAGGACTTGAAAGTGTTATATTCAGGAGGAAACAAAATAAGAGATAACAATGTGTCATTTATGAACAGTGTTTTTTAAAAACTAAGAATATGATTATGAAAATTGTATGTTTTTGTCAATAACTTTAAAATAAACATTTAAATGCTTGCCTTGATACATTTAAGATAACTTTGTATAATGATAGAACTTGTGTGACACATAATTTCTACCTAGGGCTAACAATGGTATCACTGAAGTTAAAAGTAAAATCACAAAAATACTGAACACCGAGGAAAATTCAAAATGGAAAGTCCCCAATTAAATGGCAAAATCAAAAGCTCAACAACTGTCATGTTCCTGACTTGGTACAGGTATTTTCTTAAACAGAAAATGGTGGATTAAACCTAGTTTTATAGCTAGCCAAACCTCTCACTTGTATGACAGTCGCATAAAATTCCATTATATTGACAACGATGTGTGACCAAAACAAACAGACATAATAGGCATAAATGTCAAAAATAGGGGTACAGCTGTCAACATTGTGTTACAATCTCATTCACATAAAAACAAACAAACAAGTAAACAAACTTTACCATGGCACAACAATACAATGAGGAATAAATTATTTGTCTGAGAGAAGCTTAAATTCTGCTTTAGATTATATATTGTGTTTTAGAAATTATTTTTGAATGATTCATTTTCTCATGGATCGCACATAATCTATTTATGTGGTTTTTAGCGACATTGACAGTCTGTTAAGCCCTTACACGGTCGCACATGATGATAAGTTTTCTGGAAGGTTAAAGGGTAGATACAATATAAGTGGAAATAATTCTAAAAATTATTCTTTTGCATATCAGTTTCCAGTTTGCAATATACAATGTATATAAACACTAGTTTTTGATAAACTGCGTTTGCATTAATTAATCTATGCGCTTACTAAAACAATAAAACATTCAATGCCATTTCGGTCGAAAGCGCTTTTTGGGATTTACCTTCATTAGGAGCACTCTCAAAGCCGACTATTTGAAGGTCAGGGACCGAAACAGAAACAGTGGAAGACCGATAGTTTTCATTGGACGTTGACAAATATTTTAACGAGTAAGATTCCACGTTCTACCGGTCCGTTACTAGAGAAAGCCACCATTTTTACTTCCGAATTGTTTTGATGTTGGTTACATTCTATATAGGACCAATTGTAAAACGTATATAAAAATAATAGCCAAAGCCATCAAAGGTCAGCTTAGCCTTATGGAGTTGAAACCTTAGTTAAGGTGATGATAATAAATATTGTCGAGTATGTTGTCTTTAAAGGACACTAATAAAAGAGGGGCGAAAGATACCAGAGGGACATATAAACTCATAAATCGAAAATAAACTGACGACGCCATGGCTAAAAAAGAAAAAGACAAACAATAGCACACAAAATACAACATAGAAAAATAAAGACCAAGCAACACGAACCCCACAAAAAACTGGGGATTGTCTCAGGTGCTCCGGAAGTGTAAGCATGTTCTGCTCCACATGTGGCACACGTCGTGTTGCTCATGTTAGTAATAACAAGAGGAATGAAATGGGAGTTAAAAACGTTGATACTTTTATTCATTAACATAAGCACGTTGGACATCCGTCACTCGAAATCGTTACTCCTTTATTGCATGGCGCAATACATCTGACAGGGGCACACGTGGTTTTGATAGTAGTTGGCGCTAGCGTCGACGTTCGTGATCCAGATGATGCTAGAAATAACAGAAAAAAGAAATAGTTTTATAAAATTAAATATAACTATTGAATTCAGATAAATTTTACCACTGTTTTAAGTTGGTTTTCAAATTTGTTCTGTTTAGTCAAACTCGACGAAGGTCTTTTATATTTGTAGTGTAAACATTAGAAAACAGTTGTTTAGTACACACATTAAATACTGATATTAAAGAATCACTATATAGTGTAACATTTAAATTTGTTTGCCTTCCGGTCAGTATTTAATATTTTGAAAGACCGTCGACAAATAACTATAGATCAAATTAGTTAGTTCTGCAAAATGGTGGGGGACTAGAATTCACGACGGGACACTATGTCTGTAAGTTGAAAAAGGGTGTATTTTGAACAGATATTTTGCAGGATTTCATCAGCGCGCATAGTCATTGCTACATTTTCAAAACAATATAATTTTAGAAAACAAACGTCTCAGTTGTGATTGGATTTGGTTTCTAATTTGAACTTCTAGCATTGCTTAACGAATATTTCATACTCCAGTCACTTGTGGATCTAAATCTCAAATGTTTTGATGCTGGTTGAATTTTCATATGGTTTCTAATTTGAACTTCCAGCATTGCTTAACGAATATTTCATACTCCAGTGACTTGTGGATCTAAATCTCAAATAGTTTAATGTTGGTTGAATTTACATCAAAATTAATCTTTAACAATTCTTATCAAAGACAAAATGTGAACAGTTACTTACGTGGAAGAGTAGACTTTAAAATTTGGTTTAGTGTTATTCCACCTGCACCTCCATTTTGAATAGGTCCCGTATTTGGTCCATTAAAACCATTAGGAAGACTTCCACTAGGATTACTTGGATTAAAATTAGGAGTATTGGGTCCATTTAGACTACCAGAGCCTGGCCCTGTATTAACCGAATTACTTTGAGCTGACATTTGGCCCATTTGATTAACACTATTTCCCTGACCAGACATTGGACCCATCTGACTCAGCTGAACTGGTTTTCCCAAATTTGTTGCATGAAAAGGTGAATTTTGTCCGGTAGAAAACATGCCACCAGTACAATCACACACCGTGCATCCTCCTCTGTTCACCATACAAGGTTGTGGACAGAACATTGGCACCTGACTACATCCAGTATTTCGCTTTCCTGCAATGATTGATGTTTATCATTTTTTTAGCGTCTTAGTTATTTCTAAAAAAAAGTTATAGTTAAAACAAATTAAAAATAATAAAATACAACCAAGGGAATTTCAGGATCAAAATAACAACACATCTAAAATCATTTCCATAGAGTATCAAGTTTTCGAAACAAACCAGCACATCACAAAAAAAGCAAAACTGTTCAAAATGTTGAGACCAGACACAGAAATTCCTTTTAAACATAAAGATGTTTCACTATAATATACGACTCGAACTTCACGGAGAAAACTACTGTGACTTCTGATTCATCCTGAACGTCGAACTGATTAATATAAGTAGTATGCTGATCTTTATTTCGTTATCAAATATAACCCAATCAATAATAAACAGATTGCTACAAAGAGCTTCGACAAGGTATGAATATCCTGCAATACTGTATCCTCCAGCACACAACTTTAAAGTCACATAAAAGTTTCAAACCAGCAACATGACGAAACAGTTAGCAATACAATGTTAAATTGAAAAATTGGACATCTTAGATCTGTGATAGTTTATTGATGAGATTATCAAAAACCTAATTGTCAAGTTTGGCCATGATATTACAACAAACATTCGTTGTTCAAATGAGTTCTAATTATGTATCCCTAAAGGCTTAATTCTTTTTAATATATTCTCATAAAGCAAAGCCTTCTCTAAGACAAGAAGCATATTCCATGTTATTTTTTAGCATAAGACCCGTTGTCGTCGTCCTTTAACTTTTACAAAAAATCTTCTCCTCTGAAACTATTGGGCCAAATTAAACAAAATTTGGCCTAAATCATTCTTAGTGTATCAAGTTTTAAAAATGTATCCTTTGACCCCGCTCATAAACCAAGATGGCCGCCATGGCTAAAAAAAGAACATGGGGGCAAACTGCAGTTTTTGGCTTATATCTCTGAAACTAAAGCATTTAGAGCAAATCTGACATCTGTTCATCAGGTCACCATATATATCTGCCCTGAAATTTTCAGACGCATCAGACAACCCGTTGTTGGGTTGCTGCCCCTGAATTGGTAATTTTAAGGAAATTTTGTAGTTTTTGGTTATTATCTTGAATATTATAATAGATAGAGATTAACTGTCAACAGCAGAAATGTTCAGCAAAGTAATATCTACAAATAAGTCAACATAATCAAAATAGTCAATTGAACCTTTCAGGAGTTATTGACCTTTAACGTCAATTTTTCATAATTTTTCTTTTATTTTTGTTATCTTCTCTTTTCCAAAACCACGGTAGATACAGGTGAGCGACACGGGCTCTTGAGAGCCTCTAGTTAGTTTCATGCTGTTATTAATGACATCTGTCACTCACTGGCCAAAACATCTAAATTACTCCTATATCGGCTTGGGCAGATGGTATGTAACTACTTGGAACAGACACATACAGAATTTTAAGGATTGTTTGCGGACGTTCAACCTACCCCTAACCTTAGACAGTTTAGTAACATAACAACATCATTACAAACTAGTTGAAAAGGGTTTTGCTCATTAGATCGACACAGTGCATGAATGTTAATTAAAGTTGTGGAATAAATGATAGGTAGAAAAATCACTGACGGTTTTTAAATGATTTGATTTATGCTTTAATTTAATTCATTTATATGTGTGGGAGTTTTGTCTAGTGTCCATTTCGCTGAAATAGAATACATTGTTGCTTAGGGGCCAGCTGAAGTTCGCCTCCAGTGCGGAATTTTCTGGCTGCGTTGAAGACCCCTTGCTGGCCATATGCTGTTTTCTGCTTTTTAGTCGGGTTGTTGTCTCTTTGACACATTCCCCGTTTCCATTGTCAATTCTAAAGTAGTGTATTGATATGTCTAATACCTATAACGGGTGGCGGGAGATCATTCCTTGAAGACATACATTCCGAGTGACATCCTTCCAAGTCAACTCTACAGTAATGTCCGTGATCACATTCTGTGTCGGATAGACATTGTTTATGACAGTGTTTCTCACCTACAAACAAAAACAAAATGTATACAAACAAAAACAAAATGTATACAAACAAAAACAAAATGTATACATATATATAAATAAGTACGTCTGAGCCTAGATGGTCGAGTGATCTAGCGCGTCGGGCATAGTGCAAGGCGATTTGGTGCCACGATATCTCAGTAGCATGAATCCCGGCCAGGGAAGAACAAAAAATTTGCTTCCGCAAATTTACAGTTTTAACATTGTTGGGTTGATATTTAGACGAATCATATATATAAATATATATATATTGTATATTATCAATGGAAAAAATGGAAATTTACACATTAATCAACGGGAAGTTTCGAATACAGCGTCATGTTCAATGTAAAAAGAATGAAATAAGTATGATAATATAGGATTAATCACATTTTTTCTAGAAGTAATGGATGTGTAAACTGGCACGATTAACTCAAAAACTGAATAAAAGTCCGATGGACTTTTATGGAAAGTTTGTGAGTAAGCGACCCAGTTTACACATCAATCCCTCTAGAAAAAATGTGTTTAATCCTTATAATTCTTAGCAGAACATTCGCAACTTTCAATTAACATTTTGTATTCATTGGTTTCTATTTACCATCAAATGCACAATAGACATGTCGTAACTACAAGTTAGCCGACATATTGACTTTCTGAAATCAATAAATGTGCGATTATATTAATGCAATAGAATCTAAAAAGAAATGACAAATACCTCAAAAACGATCTTTAAATGAGATATTTTCCGAATTAGAAGCGAACAAGTTATTAGATCGAGAGTTTGCATTCGTATCACGGCACGTTTGCCGTAAGATCATTCATGATATTTCGCGTAATTTTATTTTATTTGATTTCATACATTTCCAGGCTTGAATGCATTATTAAGGTCTTTCCTTTCTTAATGGAAAGACCTTACTGTATTTCGTTTGTTTATTATTATTATTATTCTTTTTCCTCGTCCGATTTCAAAGTCAAAAGTCAAAAAAAGTACGCAACATATCAAAATGATCTTTAGTACCAAGTATCGGGTTAATAAAAGCTATCTTGTATTAGGGGCACCAAAGTGTACTATTTACCTTATAGGAGTTATCTCCCCAATTACAAAAACCATTGTTATCGCTACTCTTCATAAACTATAAGAGTTAGCGGCAAATGTTTTTTTTCTAAATGTTCCTTGCCACATGTCGCAACTTTAAATAATTTTAACCGAAGCGATCCAGTGACTTCTTATAGGAGTTATTTCCCCTTGAATATTTTACTTTTCAATATGCATATGAATCTCATGAACCGTAAGTTGTAAAGACCTAGGGTCTTTTGATTTGTGATCATTGGACCATAACTTGAAAATATAGGTCAAGGTCAAAGGTCAAGGTCATGTAAAAAAGGCAAATTGTGTGTTTTTGGCACTATTTAAATAGTTTTATGTGTGGTTTAGTGCTTTTGTAGGTTGACATTGACCTTTAACCTTACTACTTGTTAAGTGATCTCTCAAAAGATAAATCCCATGTGTTTAGATATAGTATTTAGGCTTTCTATTCCGTCTTTGCATGATCAAAGTGGATCCGTTCTCTGTGTTAACCAACCAACCAACCAAAAAACCAATCAATCAATCAATCAATCAATCAATCAATCAATCAATCAATCAATCAGTCAGTCAATCATTGCATGCATGTTTCTGTCTCATGTGTTTAATATGGGGACCAAGATCTTATTTGTTTCTATTTCGATTGTTTAAAGAGACCATATCCCACGTGTCTAATTAATTGATCAATCAATCAATCAATCAAGCAACCAACCAACCAATCGATCAACCAACCAACCAACCAACCAACCAACCATTCAATCAATCATTCATTCATTGCATGCATACATGTTTCCGTCTCCTGTGTTTAATATGGGGTCCAAGATCTCATTTGTTTTTTTTTCGCTTATTTCAAGAGACCACCATATCCCACATGTTAAGTTTATTAACCAAACAACCAACCAACCAACCAACCAACCAACCAACCAATCATTCATTCATTCATTCATTGTATGCATGTTTCCGTCTTATGTGTTTAATACGGGGTCCAAGATCTCCTTTGTTTCTTTTTCGCTTGTTTCAAGAAACCTATCCCACGTGTTTAATTAATCAATCAATCAACCAACTAACCAATAAATAAATAAATAAACCAACCAACCAACCAACCAAGCAATCATTCATTCATTCATTCATTGTGTGCATGTTTCCGTCTCATGTGTTTAATACGGGGTCCAAGATTTCCTTTGTTTCTTTTTTCGCTTGTTTCAAGAGACCCTATCCCACGTGTTTAATCAACAAATCAATCAACCAACCAACCAACCAATTAATTAATTAATTAATCAATCAATCAATAAACCAACCAACCAACCAACCAATCAATCATTCATTCATTGTATGCATGTTTTCGTCTCATGTGTGTAATATTGTATTTACATCTCTTCTGAAAAAAAAAAAATCCACATGCTTGTTATCAGATGTTCTGGGAAACTACATGTCCAATTGACCCATAAAATTTGCAGTCAGCAGGGTATACATGCATTACATCTTCATAAAACAACGTGGTGCAGATATCTCTCAAGAATTTTCCTAGAGAAAAGAAATTGCAATGCCGTAAAAATCGCTTGCTAGTTCCGTAAATCTCAGTGAAATCCTACAATAAAATGTCCGCTCCTAGATTGAAATACAAATCTGTGTTACAAACTGCTGCTGAAAAATGTACATTGTATGAAAATAATCGATAAACGTGTTTTAAAGTTACACAGGATCAATTAAATCCAAAGCATGCACTGCTCGTGAACTGTGATCGAAACGTCAATTACCTACAATGACAAAAGAAATACATTGTGTGTATTCCGTCGCTATACATGTTATCTGTCCAACGTCTCCACCTAAAAAGAAATAAAAATACTAAGTTTTCGCTATTATAAAGCTTCGTCACGTGACGCCACAATCTGGCGCGAGACAAAGACGCGCGCGGGACCTAAAATAGAATAAAAACTTTCCAAACTAAATATAGAAACTTAACCAACACACTAATATGGACCCTTTAAAGAAAGAAAGAAACAAACAAACAAACAAACACACACACACACACACACATATCAATCAATCATGTTTCAGAAGGGGGGAAAGACCGTTTACAATTGCTTTTTTAAAGCAATTGATTTATATTTTCTTTTTTCTATGCTTAAACAAATATTTGATTTGTTTTTCAATCTCAATTTGCTTATAACCACTGGATCACATGCATGTGGATAGCGCATGAATAGATCACAGTGAAAGTAATTTCTATACCAGGGTTTATCGAAGTGTAAACCAAGGGAAAAACTTTCAATGGACCAATCCAATTCAAGTATTTGTAGATATGCAAATCATATAAGAATTATTGATAAATAAAATAATAATGATGAATACGAATAATTGCAAGTCTTTAAAAAGTTTTCAAATATCCTAAAGTGCATTCCTCACAAGCATTACAAAGTCATGTTAACGTGAATATGACTAACCCTTCCATATCATGTATGTGCTTCTTCCAAGCCCTCATCATGATGTTTAGTGGTTGTCATCCATCATATTGTCCTGTCTTTAATGTTGGATAGTGTCCTCGTTGGAAATATAACCTTTTTTAAAGTGTTCTTGCCAATTTTAAAGATTTGCTTGACACTGACAGGGTTATAACCACAATGTTATTGTCTCTCGGATTTCATAAATTGCACTATGAACTTATGTGTATGTAATATTTTTATTGAGATATATAATCTTCACCATTATTACATTAATGACTTATTAGTAATCGCATCCTTGCAGTTTGAATATCTTATTTCTGTCATACAAGAGAGAGGTTTAGCTAGCTATAATTCCACCGTTTTCTACATAGGAAATGCCTGTACCAAGTCAAGAATATGACACTTGTTTACCATTCGTTTGATGTGTTTGATCTTTTAATTTTGCCATTTGATTAGGAACTTTCCGTTTTTAATTTTCCTTGGCGTTCGGTATTTTTGTTATTTTACTTTTTTCTTTATACAAGTAGTGCAATTTATTCCATATCCTTGAAACCTTAAACATTGTACAAAAGAATTATGAATCAGTGCCACAAATCGAGTCATCACAATACGATCTTTACGATATCTAATTATGTCGATACAATTTACAAACCACTGCATACAAGTAAAAAGTAAAATAACAAAAATACCAAAAGCCATGGAAAATTCAAAACAAAAAATCCTTCATCAAATGGCAAAATCAAAAGCTCAGACACATCAAAGTTGAAACAGTTGCTATACAGCTGCCATTATTACCATATTTATTTACGTTTAATTTCAAAATGTATTTCATGTTGAAGCTATAACCAATCTAATCAAGATACCAATATATCTCTGATTTTGTTATCCTCATATGAGCTATGTATACACGGGCACGCGGGTTAATATAGGTCAGAATTTCAATCAGATTTAAAACAATACTTACCAGAAACAATTACTAATCCTACAACAATAAGGAAGTAGATACACCCCATGATGTAAAAGAATCAAGGTCTACACATGAAAACGTGTAAGATAATGTTAACCGTGAGATGTCACAGGAATTAAGTCAATAGATAAGGTCAAACTGAATATAGATCATTAACAGCATGATCCAGATAAAATCATGAATGGACTAATATTGCTCGGACCCTTTAAAACAACAACCACTACAACTACGACCACATCAACAGCATGGGCATGATAATAATAGATTATTTAACTTAAACTCATATTACAATCGACTATTTTCATATTTAATACCGACTTATGACTCCGGATTATATAATTTTCGACAGGTTACCTTTTCTGTGGTTATAGACATCCTGGTACTCGGTCAAGTAAGAGCAACCAAAAGAAGAAAAATCAAACACATAATCCGTGCAATTTGAGGGGAAAGTTTTCTGTTTTCCGATTATTTTGTCGTATAATGAAAACATAAAACAGTTTATTTCCTCCAAAAAAATTAAAAGCTTGATTTTCCTTCTTTATGTTGCTCTTGGTTGACAAATTACCATGATGTCCAACCAGAGAGAAGGTAACCTGTCGAAAAAATACAAACTCCGGAGTCAAAAGTCGGTAATACGAAAATAGTCTATTGGTCATGCAGTCAGTACGGATTAAGCTCCATCAGAACATAACTTCAGAACCATTATGTTCAACTATTTGATATGAAATGACAATAACACTTTATAAAATTTGTTGCGTTCGAAAATAAAAATATAACACTTTACAAATTTGGTGCGTTCGAAAATAAAAATATAACACTTTATAAATTTGGTGCGTTCGAATATAAAAGTACAATACTTTATACATGTGTTGCGTTCGAAAATAAAAATATAAAAAGTAAAATAACAAAAATACCGAACTCCAAGGAAATTTCAAAATGGAAAGTGTTTTATCAAATGGCAAATTCAAAAGCACAAACACATCAAACGAATGGAAAACAACTGTCATATTCCTGACTTGGTACAGGCATTTCCTTATGTAAAAAGAGAGGCGAAAGATACCAAAGGAACATTCAAACTCATAAGTCAAAAATAAACTGACAACGCCATGGCTAAAAAAGAAAAAGACCAAAAGACAAACAACAGTACACAACACACAACATAGAAAACTAAAGACTGAGCAACACTTACCCCACCAAAGCTGGGGTGATCTAAGGTGTCCGGGAGGGTTAGCAGATCCTGCTCCACATGTGGCACCCGTCGTGTTGCTCATGTTAATACAAACCCGGTAATAAGTCTAATTCGGTAGGTCACATTCGGGAAAAGGGGATGGGATTGTAGTTACGACAATAAGAGCATATCCGCTATCATCTGTGAAACGGATATTCCATAACAATCAACCAACTCGTTATGGCGTCCGTAAAATTTACGAAGCGATGACTTCAACTTCACCACTTGGATCTCTTGGTTTAATAGCTTCCTTGTGAGAAGCAACCTTCTCAAGGAAATAATGATAGGAAATTATTATCAAGGTAATAATGATAGGAAATACAAGCCCTGGAATATCGTATCACCTGGGAGATATGTACTCCGTATGCAGGTGCTGCTCGAATGTTGCTACATAAAATGGAAAGTTCACAATTGGGAAGCTGAAATCATCCCTTTTGTCGGAAAGTTTTGTTTTTAACCGGCCCTCATTGTCAATTTCGAAATGTAAGTCAAGATATGAGGCAGACTTAACTGTATCTGTTGTATCCTTTATCTCAAGTTCGATGGGATAAATGCGTTCAACACAGTCACCAAATTTTGAGTTATTTAGTGTTATAAAGTGTAGAAAATGGTGGATTAAACCTGGTTTTTTAGCTAGCTAATCATCTCACTTGTATGACAGTCGCATAGAATTCCATTATATTGACAACAATGTGAGAGTTAGAACCTTCGTACTTAGAGAGTTAGAACCACCGAAGCGCTTTTCTAGACTGACCTTTTACTTGAGTAAAAAAAACATAAACCATAAATTTCACATTGATTATTGTATTATCAAATTCAAGTAATAAAAAAATACAATTATATGTCTTTGCTAGTACAAAATCGCAAAAACTTAACGTTGGTCAATGAACGAAGCAAATAAGGTCAATGTTAGATGACCGCTGTCAAATGGAAATGTACTCCAATTAGACAATCTATTCCGGAAATTAAGTTGACCGTATATTATCAGTAACTGAGGATATAACATTACAACAAACACCTGACTCATGACCTATGGTCAAGTTCAAACAAACCACGTCTGAGATGCATACTTCTTTTAAACTGAGTGTTACTGTGCGTATTGCTATGTGTTTCTTTTTTTCTACATTGACTAGAGGTATTGGGGGAGGGTTGAGATCTCACAAAACATGTTTAACCCCGCCGCATTTTTGCGCCTGTCCCAAGTCAGGAGCCTCTGGCCTTTGTTAGTATTGTATGTTTTTTAATTTTAGTTCATTTATATGTTTTGGAGTTTAGTGTGACGTCCATTTTCACTGAACTAGCACACAATTTTATTTAGGGGCCAGCTGAAGACCACCTCCGGGTGCAGGATTTTCTCGCTGCATTGAAGACCCATTGGTGGCCTTCGGCTGTTGTCTGCTCTTTGGTCGGGTTGTTGTCTCTTTGACATATTCCCCATTTCCATTCTCAATTATATTTAAAATGAACCCACAAATACTGCTAATTTTAGAAAAGATTCGAAGACTTCGGAAATAGCCCTGGAGGTGTGAAATGAATAGAGTAGAAATCGTTCATTCAAATCAAGTTTTAATTATGCCCTCAGTTAATTCCAATCATCATTTGTAACACCATTTGAAAGTTTTGGTATATTTTGTTGTTGTATGGACTTGTACTGGGCATTTCCATCGTCAAGTCTGAGTTTCTAGAATCTTATTTTTCAATACTAACTCTTTATTTACTATTTGCACCTAGAGGTGATTTATTGAGTTCCATTTCTAATATTTCCACAATTTCTTATTTTAGTGACTGCATGACAGCAGGTTGTTTTTGTTTCTGTATTTCACATAATACTTCTAATTAGTGACTTATTGTTTAAAAAGTTTAAGATACCATGAAATGATAATAATGTTGAAATTCTTCATAGGTAAACCATGCAATCCAGTCAGCATAAAAAACCAATTTCAGTCATTTTATAAGTCTTCTTGTTTTTGACAAGTCTACCTGTTTTTTAGTTGTGCTTCTGTAGCAATTTGTATATTGACCAGAGGGGGCTCCAGAGGTAGGAATCCGGGATCAATACCAAATTGTTGCCAGGTTTCAAAGTAGATTCAATGTGCGATTTTGAGCATGCATCATTTTTCCTGTGAATGGCTTTATTTTTGTCTAGAATGTAGTCTTTGTATATCGGATTTGTGATTTGTAGGTTGTTGCTAGAGTTCATACGAGTAATTCGTCTTGTTGGGACATTTGATGCAGCCATCATTGACTGTCAGTATGATCCAAATACAAAGGTGAGGGTGGTGTGCAATAGAATGTTTCCTTAATCAATGATTGTATGACGAAGATAATTATAATGATCCAGTGATGGTTGATGCAAATCGGGTAATATTATACAAGCAAGTATGAGGCGGTTACGCAGATGTTATATATATAGCCAGGCGAGTATATGTTGGTTAGGCGATGATTATATGCTAGAGGGAGATATATAATAGGTTGATTATGTAAAGCAGGTAGATGAGACGCAAGTTTGCAAGTTATAGAATAGATTGGTATAATGGTGGCAGACGGCCAGTAGAGCCAACACGTCGTGGATATTCCCACCGTTGGAAGGCTCTGCTGGTTGAGTTGGGATGCAGAGGCTGAGTCGGGGAGCACGTCGTGGATATTCCCACCGCCCGTTGGCTATAATATCAGCCCCAGCACTGTTTTTGTACCTGATTTGCCAATTTTCTAAGCCAAACTTTCGACAAGGTCTGCTTTGGATGTATTCCGTCCCTGTATAAATCAAAAAAGTACTTATCGCTGATGGTTAATTTTTTTGGATTTTGAAGTTTTTTCTTGATGATGATGGCTGATGTCTATTGCAAAATTTGGAGAGAAGGTGTCTAAAAATGAATTTATGTAACGAATGCTGCTGTTTAGTTCTTCTACTTTTTTAATTAGTTGTTCCTCTTGGTGTTTGAAGGTTGACAGGTTGTCGTGCTTTTTATATGCGTTGAAATCAAGTATTGAATATGGAGGAATTTCTAAGAAGGTAATTTTACAGGCAGGATATGGTTTCAAAAGTTCTATTATTTCTTGAAATGTATCGGTTATTTGCTGTATTGTGTTCTCTTCTGTTGAGAGTGAAATGAATTTCCCGTCGTAGTTCGTTAGGTCACAGGTGCCTAGCCAGACGTATAGGTGTATGTTATCCAGTCGGCCAATTTGTTGGGCTATGTTTTGTTTAAGCCAGTCGTAACCTTTCACTGATGTGCGAGACGACTTACACCACCATCTGATCTCCAATTCAATTTGGTTAGAAACTTGATCCCACAGATTAAAACCTTTGCTGTCAGTGAGGACTACTGGAGTATGAGTTTTAGTACCGATGATAGAAGGCAATAGTCTTTTTAAATATTTTTGAAGTTTTCTTTCCGACATAAATGTCTTGTGTTGAAATTAATTCTTTATAAATAATAATTTTTTTTCTGAGGCAAGCAAACAAGAAAAGTCTATTAGCTATGGTGGTCCAGGTGAGCAGAGACTTGTAATTTTGGATATGAACTGATGAACTGATGAATGGAGAATGGTGAACTGAAGTTTTTATCGAAAATGATACGTCAAAGAGTTGATGATCAGATAAAAGTCCAAGAGAGCCGACACGTCGTGGATATTCCCACCGTTGGAAGGCTCTGTTGGAGAACGGTAGAAGTTATTGTTACGTTGATTAATTTTTACTAGTTTGACAAATTAACCAAGCAAAAAATTCAAGGAGGATGCCAAAATAATCTCTGTTGAATTGAAATATTTATATCGATATACAGTACAATGTGCAAGGTAGAGGCAAGGGGAAAATG